TTTTGAGATTCTTTTGTTTCTTTTATTGTTATTGTTATTGCTATGTTTCTTGCCTTTTGTGTCATTTGAAAGATCATCAATCAATATTTTAAGGTAAATTAGTTTTGAAAACCTGTATTGTACTAAATTTTCCTTTAATTATAATCGATGTTGATACATTGTAAATATACACTATAAAAACAAAATATAAGGTTTTGGGGTGCTACTCCTATATTTACCTTTTAGGTTTATACCCAAGTTTTTATGTAGCATTAGAACAAGTAAAGCTCAAATGAACAATACGATCCTGTTAATGTTAAAATAAGAGCACATGGACTCAACAATTGTTAGTGATAGCGAGCCACAATGTTTTAGTGTGGTTAGTCATCCCATAAAATAACAAACTAACATAAAATGTTTAGCTCTGACCCTAACTCTTTCTAGTAACTTCGTAAGTTACATTTTTGAGAAAGAATTTCAAGTCTCCCTGCCTTCCTTTCATAATCTAAACCATTCATCGCAGGTGCTGTCACCGGAGCCATAACAACTCCTCTTGATGTCATAAAAACTAGACTTATGGTTCAGGTGGAGTTTCTAAGTTTCACTCGTCCTAGTTTATTAACATTACAGTCATCTTTGGTACTTGTGTTAGTTTTGTTTTGGCCTCGACACAGGGATCGACAAAGCAGTACCAGGGTGTTCTCCATTGTATTGGAACTATTGCTAGAGAAGAAGGAACATCTGCTCTTTTTAAGGTATATCTTCACTGTCCTATGTGGCAATATGATATAGAATGCATGCAATCGTGCATTGTTTCTAGTAATTACAAAGAATAACAATAAGGAAAATAATTATTCGCCCCCTGAGGTTATGCCATAATGCTTAATGCAACCTTGCATTTTCAAAAATCAATTAGTTACCCCCTATGTTTTGATCATTTTCATTGTTTGCCCCCTCACATTAATATTTATTAAATTAAATTTCATATAACTCTTAAATTCAATAAAATTTATCTACAAAATTAAATTTTAAAGTGAATCACACTTTATTATCATAATTATAAGTCATTGTTGTTTACCTTTATTTTCATGCTTAGCTACTCAACGTGGAATAATGAAAGTAGTTAAGGAGAAGACTCACGAGTAAGATATAAAATATCATGAATTTTATATTTTTTATTTTAAAAAATAAAATATCATTTAAGCTTATTACACTAATAAACTTTTTGTGAAGAAGAAATCATCAAACTTGGTAATAGAATTAATAGAAATTAAACAAATCAAAATCTATGATATACTACCTCCGTCCCTTAAAACTTTGCCAAGTTTGATCGGCACGGAGAATAATAAAGTAAAAACTATGTGGTTGAGATTTGTGCAGAGGAGAGGGAAATAACAGGAACCACAAAATATTGATTAAAAGGGAAAGTGACAAAGTTTTTTGGGACGTCCAAAAAAGGAAAGATGACAAAGTTTTAAGGGACGGATGGAGTATATTTTAGTTCTTAGATTGATAGATTTCATTTATGTAGGTCCTATATTGATACATTTTTATTTTTTAGGTCTCTTATTAATACTAGATCAATCTTTTAGGTCATGAATTGATAAAATTCATTTTATTTCTTGGTTCCTTGCTACACACGAAAGAAGTGTCATTGGTTCTCTGCCTTAACTACTTTGATCAATATTTATTCCACGATCGAGTAGCTAAGTAAAATAATAACGATAAAAAACAATGACTCATAATTATGATAATAAATTGTGTTTTGCTTTAAAAATTAATTTCACAGACAATTTTCATTGAATTTAAGAGTTATATTAAATATAGTTTAACTTTTTCATCATTTGCAATGGAACCAAAGATTCATTATTTTTTGGCTTGAGAATATGATGGAATAAAGCAAAATGGCTCAATAAACTGTCTGCGCTTCTTTGTTATGAAGCAACAGTCAGTCCATGCAGTTTTGGACGCGATTTTCATTATGAGTCATCCGGAAACAGTCTCTCTATGCTTTAGTACAGGGGTAAGACTGCGTACATCCGACTCCCCCTTACCCCACCGTAGGTGGGAGCCTTTGCGGCATCAGGGTAAATGAAAATGAAATGATTAAATATAGTTTTTGAATGATAAAAAGTATTAATGAGGGAGCATATAGTGAGAATGATAAAAAGTCGGGTAACTAATTGATTTTTGAAAATGCAAGGTTGCAATGATAATTATGACATAACCCCAGGGCTAATAATAATTTTCCCTAACAATAAATTGGATGTTTTCGGTATAACTCACTGTTGCGTTTGCTGCAGGGGATGGGACCAAGGGTGCTTTGGATTGGAATTGGAGGATCAATATTTTTTGGAGTGCTTGAGAAGACGAAACAGCTTCTTTCCCAGAGAAAAACAGCTGAGTTGAAACATGAATGAAGCCTAGGAATGTTTAATTTAGAAATAAATAACACCGATGTATTGGTTTGTTCATGGCTGGCAGTGCATGCAAGTGTGATTGACGCTTGAACTCCAAACCATGAATTTGTATCTGTTTTGTCATGCGTATTCATGATGTTGTATGAACAAATAAAAAATAAATAAAACATTCAGGTTCATCACCATTATCTATACTCAAGTTTTCTCGTGGATGGAAATATTATACGAAATAATTACCTGTTTATGACTAGAGTGAAGGTTGTTTCTAAAAATGACTATAGCAATAACTTTAATCATAGTATTATTTTCAGTTTTTACACTTAAGTGATCATGATGATACTATATTCATAGTAAGTTTAGTCAATTTTTTGTAAATAAGTTTTCTTGTTTGAGCTATCCTAAAGCTATAATAATCTACTTTAAAGAAAGAATTATCTGATTAAATTTATTTCTTTTTCATAGTAAAAAGTATTAACCAAGCAAGTTAAAAAATTCTTTTAGAATATATGTTTTCTACACGCATGTAGGGGTGGACCGGTTCCGGTTCGGGCCCGGTTCGGGCCTGGGCCCGGCCGGGCCTCGGTTCAGAAAAAGGAGGCCCGGGCCCGAACCGGTGGTGGGCGGTTCCGGTTCCGGTTCCGGGCCAGAACCGGGCCGGGCCGGGCCGGGCCACCCGGAATGTTTTTTTTTTTTTTTTTCTTCTCTTATTTAACCCCCTACCCCTCCCCCTCCACCCCAAACCACCCCAAACCACCTCAAATGGCCCAAAATACCTAATCCAACCCAAAACTTAAAAAAATTTCAAAAAAAAAAAAAATAATTAAATTCCGGCCCGAACCGGGCCCGGCCCGGCCGGGCCGGTTCACTAAACTGGAGGCCCGGGCCCGGACCGGTATACCACCGGGCCTGGAGGCCCGAACCGGAACCGAACCGGTTGACCGGGCCGGTCCGGGCCCGCACAGTAGCGGGCCGGTCCGGTTCCGGGCCGGTTGGCCCGGCCCGAGTCCATCCCTACACGCATGCAAATAAATGCAGTGTTGGGGCTAAACTACTAAACCTAACCAAAATGTATGCAGACATGCAGTCTTATTTCATCAGCCATATTTTTTTTATCCTCCAGTTAGGAGTTGGCAAGTCTAGATAATACAATCATCTAAACCAATTGTGAGGGGTGAGAACTTCTACGTTTAATTGTACATGATATAATGATATATTTCAATTTAAAAAACAATTTCTTTTTGCATGTACATTTATTTTGATTTAACCTCAAAATCTCCAAAATATAGAAGTAATTCAATTACTCTTTTGCCTGGCAGAGGTGGTCTCGGGACTCTCGGCAATGATGACACAGTCTTCTTCTCATTCCCAAAACAATTTCTAAATTTTATTTTAGTTAGAAATTCAAAACAATTTAACTTAGTGGATAGTAAGATTCTTTTATATATATAGTCATTTATACTACGTACATCACAGCAGTGGTAGATGTGTTATGATGAATATTGTTCACATGTACTACTTTCACTCGATTCAAAGGTTCATGTCTATTCTTTTCCAATCAATGTAAAATTTTCTTAATTTTTAACCATCTTTTATTAAATTTTGTTTTTTTTTGCAACATTAAAAAAATTTTGATGTAATTTTCAAACATGTAATTTAGACATAAATCGCTTGGGAATTTTTGTACAAGCGATCCGGCGTCCCTGCCTGGATTAAGCAGACTAGGAGGGTGTGTTTACCCTTCAAATAAAAAAACGGATTGTAGGAGATGAAAGGTCCCATTTTTTACACAAATCTCGAGGCTTGTTTTTTAATCTTTGTCATCTACTATCATCCGTCTCTTTTTAATCGCAACATGTTGAATTTTACATTATTCACATATTCTAGTTTTACTACATTTTATATTATTATTTTATGAAAATTATTTTTAAAAAAAAATATTTTTCAATTCATCTCATTACAAATTTTCAAAATCTAATTTTTAAATATTTTTTACTAATAGAGATGAATATATAATTACGATCAAAGACGTGCGTTGGCAAGTGTGAAATGTTGACCGTTGCAACTAAAAAAGAACGGAGGAAGTATTTGAGTAAGGCATCCTGTCATAATCTTATGGCACAGGATCCCAATCCTTACACAAGACAGAGGGAATAATAGATTGGGCTTTGCTAGGGGTAACATTTTGGTGTACAACTTTGGTGTAGAATTGTATGTGCACACACAATTTTGTGTGCATGAGACGAACGAGTGTACGAATGGTGTACATCAAAACGTGTACACAAAGCATTTTTTGAACAGATGAGAATTTACTACTTCATTCGTCCCATTTTACTTATCTTACTTTTCCTTTTGGGTTATTCCAAAATAAGTGTCACATTTCCTTTTTGAAAGAAAAATATGTGATTCACAACATTCCACTTTATTATATTCAAATTTCAACCACAACTTTTTCTTTTTGAATAACTTTCTTAAAAATTGTGCCAAAACCAAATGAGACACGTAAAATGGGACGGAGGTAGTATTAGAACTTTCAAAATCAGATTTTCAATGGGAAAAAATATAACAACAATACAAAGAACATTTTTTACTTACCAAACAAGCGACTATGGAATAAAGTTACAATCTCGTCCATCTTGTAACGAGGACTTGGGGAGAGTTACTCCAAAGGGTAGCTAGCTAGCCACTGACGGAGCATAACACAAATTTAAAAATCTCTGCTATGCAATCAGGCGACTGGCAGTGGGAGAACGCCGCAGCTGGCGCCGTCGCGGGGTTCGCCACCGTCACATATTCCCATCCCCTCGATGTCGTCCGCACGAGGTTCCAAGGTATATTTTATCTTCTATCTCTTTCATTCTCTGTTGTGTATGTATATAAAAGCTATCTCTGCTTTTGTATTTATATATTACTCCATAAGGACCATAATTTAGCATACATTGTTTTTTTGAAAATGCTGTTTTGAGTTTGATTAGAATAAAAATGAATCACAGTACACGATGGGCGAACTGCGAGCCTTCCAACATACAGGAACACCCCTCACGCTCTATTCACCATCGCTCGTCTCGAGGTTTGCCCTTTTCTCCCATTTTTGTTCGTGAAGTTTCTCTGACGTGCTTTCCATTTTATTTACTTTTCCTCGTTCTGGAAACTTTTTCATAATTAGTGTACATAATGTGTATTAGTTATGCAACAAATGTGCAAAAAAGTTGAGAAAACAATTTTTGGATCCACTGACCCTATGTTGGCGATAAAAGAGAATTTGATTACTTTAACTCCTGGTTAAAATAATGCCAAGAGTGAGTAAGAGGCTAATTAGTCATTGCTTGTTAAGGTAAGACACTTTCTCCATTAAGAGCGTTCCGGAGTATATGATTTGGTGCATTCATGTATGTACAATGATTTGGTGCATTTCAATATGCTTCTTTGTTAGTAATTTGATTTTTCTCCAGGGCTTCAGAGGGCTTTATGCAGGTTTTTACCCTGCTGTTCTTGGATCAACTATTTCATGGAGCTTATATTTTTACATGTAAGTTTCGCCACTGGAAGCCTGGTTGAACGATACTTATACAAATTTATTTAATTTAGAATGGTTGAATATTTTGAGTGGCATACTTCCTTGAACACTGCCAATGCAAATGCTTCTGTGCTAAAAGCATTGTCTATTTGCACCTTTTTATGCTTGTGCAATTTACACTGCTGTAATCCTGACTGTAGAAAGTTTGTCCAGTTCAAATCACCTTCATACATTTTTGGTTGAAGTCTTGAAGAGGATTAGAGAGGAGAGAGAGAGAAAAAATAATGTGTGAGTCTGTAGGTAAAGAGAGATGTGAGAAAAGTACGTGTTGTTTGATAGGAGATAAATAGAAGAATGAAATGCTTATTTTGTTTAAAACTTAAAAGAAGAAAATACAAGTATAATAAAGTTGGGAGAAAAATAAGGATTGTCTCCTTTCTTCTCACATGGGAGAAGAAAACAATTTTGTGGATGTAATTTGTTTTTTTCTCTTTCTCACCTGTATTCTACCTTATCAACCAGTAATTTTTACCATTTTCATCCTACTTTCTTTCTTCCCTATTCCCCTTTAACCATACACAGCCGAAATACTATCTATAATTCTATAACTATGGGCAGTTATTTTATCTAATCATGAACTCCCTAGTACCTAGTAGGTTAGTATAGTGTCCTGACATGGAAGCTGGTTTTATAGTATCTCTTGACTGTAAAATTCTTATAACAACTAAATTATCGTGATTGTAATTAGCATGTTCATGTGATGTAGATAGCTTGCATTCCATCTGTTTGCCCCAAATGATTCCTCTGGAACAGCAGCTCGTCAGACTGCTTCTTTTTGGATTGTTAACAGAACTTACCAAATGTACCATCTCTTTTGTAGTTATAGCAAAGCAAAGCAAAGATACATGAAAGACAGGAAGGAGCCAAGCCCCGGTCTTCATCTTGCTTCAGCTTCTGAAGCAGGAGCTTTGGTTAGTATACAAATTATCATGTTAATTTGTAGGAACACTGTTCAAGTCAGTTGTTGTCATTGTTGGTAGTGTGGCTAATAGCGCGCTTTTCAAGGAGACTAGGCAAGCATCATCTATCATATATTGGTGTCTTACTAAAACTTTGCAGTTCTTTTATCTATCCAGGCTATAGCAGGATTACCTACTTTCCCCGCTGAAAGACTTAGTTTTGAAATATATAGTGCAGCTTAATTAATTCAGTGTATTATTTTTCTCAATGTATTCAAGAAGTGTTTGGTTGATCTCCTAATTTCGAATTTTTAGTTATGCTTAAAATAGTCTTTTTTTCTGATTAGGTATGCTTTTGCACCAATCCTCTTTGGGTTGTAAAGACAAGATTGCAACTGCAGACTCCTCAGCATCATATTCGTCCTTATTCTGGCTTTCATGGTTTGCTTCACCCATCATTTGACTAGCAAATTCCCATTTATATGTTCAAGTATTTCTGTTGTGTACTGTGATGTAGATTCTTCTAATTCGTGAGGGTGGCAGTATAGTGCAAAGATAGGTCCAGTTTATTTTTGTGTTGCATATTTGCTTGTACCATGTCTCATCTGATTTTTAATTCCTGATAGGTCCAGTTTATTTTTGTGTTGCATATTTTCCCTGGGATGTCCTAAACAGTTGATACTCATATAGTTCTAGAATGTAATACGTAAAGGCTGGATTTATATTCTATACATGAACTTTTAATGCAAATTTTGGATAAATGAACCATTCCATAAGTATATAGTAGATTTATTAAGACTAAACATGTACTTACAAATAAGAGGCATTGCCCGTTAATACTTTCCTTTCTTTTTTTAAAGGAATAAAAGACTTCAACATCAATAATATTCAAACCTTAGTCCCAAAAGAGTTGGGGGTCCGCTAACATGAATCGACACATGAAATTGGAGCCAATATGCATATTTTGATTCATGTGATGTGATGTGATGTGACTAAGTGTTATTGTTGGCCGTCCAAACATGATATAAAAAATGATCTCATACTAGAGTAAAAAAAGACTCAGAATAAATTGTTTATTAGGTATATGACATGGAATTATTGAACCATTTTCCAACTAAGTTGTTATTAATGGATGGTAACCTATAAAGATTAGGTGCTATTTATCTTCTACTAGAGTACTGGTTCATTGTTCTGATATGTTGATAACTTCAGATGCTTTAATAACCATAATGAAAGAAGAAGGTTGGAAGGCACTTTACAAGGGAATTGGACCAGGTCTCTTTCTGGTTAGAAGTTTCTATCTTTCATTTTGTTGTTTATTTTTTGCCATAGATGTTCTTCCTTTATTCATGGTATTTTTGTAAATAAAAATGTTATTCTTTGACTTCATCATTCTTAAGAAAACCAAAAGTTATGGTTGAAACTGTTGCAAATTTTACATGAATAATAGTTCAGAACATAAAATGTAGATACACCCTCTTCATCAAAGACCTTTCTGGTTTGCTTTAGCAGGTAACTCATGGTGCTATCCAGTTCACTGCATATGAGGAACTTCGTAAGGCTGTGGTACGATGGAGGTCTGAAGGAAATGAAAGAACAGTTGGGGCTTCTGATGAGATGTTGGTGCGTGAGCCCACTTCCTTCTCTTATTTTTTCATTTTACCAAAACTCTACTGCATGAGTATTGTCAAATCTAAAATAATTTATTTTTAATCACAAAAAAGATCAATTTTTTTCATTTTTTTTACTAAACACAGTACACAGTTTTGAACCAGACACATTTCTTTAACAACTTCCCTTTTACTCACCTCCCCTGCCCTCTTTGAACCAAACTTAGGGCTAAATGTCTTCAAGGAACATAAACTATGTGCTTGTGGTGTATATTTCTGTCTAGAATTCAATTGATTATGCAACAATGGGAGCCTCTTCTAAACTAGCTGCTCTTCTTTTGACATACCCACTTCAGGTATATATTTTTAAAAGTCCGTTATTGTATTCATTAAACATGGCCTTTTAATCCATTTTGCTATAATAAATTTAGCAATTGACTTACTATATCAATTGATTGACCTCTTCTTATTTCCATGTTTTGCAATGACTGGTTGGTATTGAGGAATGTGTTTAGGTCATAAGGTCCCGTCTTCAGGTAAAATACATCTGTTCACTAAACATCTTTGTTGGCTATCTAAAGACTTTTACCTAGTCCACCTCTTCCTTCAGTAGCTTTAATCTCAGAACTTATGCAGCAACGACCTAGTACTGCTGGAATACCTAGATATGTAGATAGCTGGCATGTGATGAAGGAAACAATACGGTGAGGAAGATTATCTACAATTTAAATTGCATCATTTTGTGTGCCACATCCATTTTTTAGCTCAGTCTTAAACTTCATACCCCCTTTGTTCCAAAATGTAAGATACATTGATACATTTTGGTTTGACACAATTTTTGAGATAGTAAAAGTAAATCTGATAATGGTATTTTATAAATTTAACCTTATAAAAGGAATAAAAAGTGATACGGTCAAGGTCAAATGATAGATAAAAAGATAAACTAGGAAAGTATAAAGTTAGTTGAGTTCTAATTAGAATGGTGCTCATAATTGTGGGATGGACAAGAAGTGAGCCTATTTAACCAAATGGGACAATGAAGCGAGGAAGCGGTCCAGCTCAGCTGGTCGTTGACTCACTCTCCCATTTTACCTCAGGCCCCCCACCCCCAGACCCCCCGGGGTAAAAAGAAAAGGGACAGATGGAGCAACACTTAATTAGTCAACAAAGGAATGGCTTGTATGACCTTGAAGGAAGGTCTTAAACATGAATGAAATCTTTTTTCTTAGGAATTAATTAATTTACGCAACACGAAGAACAATTAAAGAACACACGAAATTTGGTAACCCAGTTCGCCACGAATGACTACGTCTGGGGGGTGCTATCAAGCCGGGAATATTATTGTTATTTTCGGATCCAAGGGATGACAAAAGGAGAGAGCTTATATTTATAGAGTAAAACCTACCCCTAAGCCAACTAGGAGGCTCGGCCAAAAATAAAGGAAAAATAATCCGTACGGCCCATCTGTACGGAATTGTACGGAAAACTTGTTCGTCAAAACAAGTTGGATCGACGGATAGGGCTTGGTCATACAGTCTCCAACACCTTACACTTTTGAATGGCAGTGATGTATTGTTTTATCATCTTTTCGTTGAAATAAATTAATGTATAAGTTTCTTCCTCAAATTGATTTGAATTTGGAGAGGAATGGAATTCATCAATACTCTAATTCAATCTTAAAGAATGAGTTCTGGACTTTTTTTTTGTTTCGAATAAATTCGATTACATTTGAAGGAAGGTCTTAAACATGAAATCCTTTTTGTTAGGAATTAATTAATTTACGCAACACGAAGAACAATTAAAGAACACAAGAAATTTGGTAACCCAGTTCGCCACGAATGACTATGTCTGGGGGTGCTACCAAGCCGGGAATATTATTGCTATTTTTGGATCCAAGGGATTACAAAGGGAGAGAGTTTATATTTATACAGAGTAAAACCTACCCCTAAGCCAACTAGGAGGCTCGGCCAAAAATAAAGGAAAAATAATCCGTACGGCCCAATTGTACGGAATCCGTACGGCCCATCTGTACGGAATTGTACGGAAAACTTGTTCGTCAAAACAAGTTGGATCGACGGATACGGCTTGGTTATACAGTCTCTAACACCTTACACTTTTGAATGGTAGTGATGTATTGTTTTATCATCTTTTCGATGAAATAAATTAATGTATAAGTTTCTTCCTCAAATTGATTTGAATTTGGAGAGGAATGGAATTCATTAATACTCTAATTCAATCTCAAAGAATGAGTTCTGGACTTTTTTTGTTTCGAATAAATTCAATTACATTTGAAGAGTCCCCCCCCCCCCCCCCCCCCCCAAAGTGGCATTCGATCATGTTTTATTGAGGAATTGATGCAAGGACAGATGTGAAGAGTGATTAAAATGAAAACTATGTGGGGTTGCCTGGTAAAAAATGAAGTTCCGGGGATTGGATGAGAAACTGCAATTGTCCGAGTGTATCATGTGAAATTTAGAGTTTTTAGATGCGAAGTGCATTACTCTGAAGCCTGAAGTGATGAAACTGAGTACTTGCTTAGGTGCTTGCCTTTCTGCAATCAAAGATTTAAATTTGTCATACCATGTCTTGAAGGCTTCTTATTGTAATGAAAGATTGAATATCGTGTTTGGGTGACAGGTTTGAGGGACTGCGTGGTTTCTACCGAGGCATCACTGCAAGCGTGCTTAAAAACGTCCCTGCTGCATCAGTTACTTTCATTGTTTATGAAAATATTCTTAATATGTTGAAATTAGCAAAGAGAGACCATTAAGCTTGTTACTCTTTGGGTACCCTGCACTTTTTTTTCAGGACTAAACTCTATAGGAAAGCAACCTTAATGTATAAACTAGATGCGGTTTTAAAATTTTTAAGTGGTGAGTAAAGAGAAAACTGCAATTTTTGTAATATCTTAAATTCTTAACTATGTGTGCTACCTTTCTGGCTTTCTTTTTATCATTTGTTATTGTTGCAAACTTGCATTTGTGTGCGTATGTGTATGTGTTCATTGTAGGTAGGGGTGGACTCAGGCCGGGCGGCCCGCCCCGGAACCGGTTATTGTTTGAACCGGCCCTTACCGCCGGCCCGGCCAGGGACCGGTCCGGGTAGGCCCGACCCGCTGGGGTTCCAGTCCGGGCTCGGGCCCCTCAAAAGGTGAACCGGCCCGGCTGGTTCGGGCCCGGTCCGGGCAAATTTTTATTTTTTTGAACTTTTTTTAATTTTTTGGGTTGGGCTGGGTATTTTGGGCCATTTGAGGTGGTTTGGGGGATGAGGGGGGAGGGTTGAGGGTTAATTAGGAAAAGCCAAAAAAATATATAAATTGAACTGAGGCCCGGCCCGACCCGGACCCGCGGGGTTACCCGGCCGGTTCCGGGCCTCCTTTTCATGAACCGAGGCCCGACCGGGCTCAGGCCCGAACCGGCCCGAGTCCACCCCTAATTGTAGGTTGACAGAATAAAATGGCAGAATTTTTGATGTGTTTTTTTAAAAAAACTAATAGAAATGAAATAACTAGAATCTAATATAAAATTTTAATACGGAGTAGTTTAAAATGTCATTTATCTTCATTCAAGTCATTTCAGTTGACGCTTCGATATCTTTGCACTATTATTTGAAAAAACACCATTAGATATTTGGATTCAGTTAATGCTGGAAATTTCTCGTGTGCCGAAAACGTGAGAATTTTAAAACATTTCTCAAGAATGTATTCACATATAATTATGTAAACAGAGCCTAAAACAGCCCTTTGATTTATTGCACTAACAAAAGTTTATCGCAGGGTTAGGGTGGTTCTGATCTGTCACTAGTGCTGGACTCGGGCGGCCCGGCCCGGCCCGGCCCGGTTACTGTTTGGCCCGGCCCGGCCCGGGGCCCGGTGGGTCCGCCGGTTCGGTTCGGCCCGGCCCGGCTGCTGGGCGGTTCGGGCCCGGGCCCAGGTTTTGGTGAACCGGCCCGGCCGGTTCGGGCCCGGTCCGGATTTTAATTTTTTTTTTTTTTTGAAATTTTTTTAAGTTTTAGGTTGGATTAGGTATTTTGGGCTATTTGAGGTGGTTTGGGATGGTTTGGGGTTGAGGGGGAGGGGTAGGGGATTAAATAGGAGAACAAAAAAAAAATAATTGGGCCGGTTCGGCCCGGCCCGGTTTGGCCCGGTACCGGGACCGGAACCGGCCACCGGCGGTTCGGGCTCGGGCCTCCCTTTCCTGGCCCGAGGCCCGAACCGGGCCCGAACCGGCCCGAGTCCAGCACTATCTGTCACTACGTTGCTACGGTTTTAAGCTCCTCTCATCATTAATTAGACTAGTTTGTAGATCAAGCAGGATTATGTGTAAAATGTAAATCCTTCCAAATTGAATTCATCTATATACAAGCTAGATTTTGAGTTAAATACTAGTAAAAATTTAAAATACAGCAATGCCCCTAGACCACTCATTAGAGTAACTTTTTCCTCCACATTTTTTGTTACACTTCCTTCTACTTCTTCCCTATCACCCCCGACATCCCGCACATCACCATTTGACTGCTCTTCTTCAATGGAACTTACATCATCTGATTCATATAAAATCATCCAGTCTATCAACAATTTCCTCAAATTGGGTACCTATAAACCAAATTAAATTTTAAAAGTCTAAATAAAAAAATATGCTCAAAGAAAGTTGTGCTATCTATAATAAATCTACACAACCAAATACAAACTATAAGTAAATCACATTTAAATATACCTTGGTAAAATTGCAATGTATCATAAAAGTTTTTTACATTCGCAGAGCGGTTCAGTGGCGGTAGTTTAGCATATATATTGCCAAATTGATCATGATTTAGTGTCTCATCACTTTCTTCAAATGGTCCCTTCACCCTTGATTGAAATTGACACATCCAAAATCTAATTTTAATACACTTATATCTCTAGTAAGAGAATTCTCATAGCCAATTATCACAAATTAAACAATGAATGAAATTCTTCTATTTGTCACAATTTGTATGAAACTAGTTTGCTTATTATGTTATAGTTTTTTCCTTCTTACATAAAAAAATAATAATAACAAAGTACCAACAATCTTATTTGCATCCGGTAAAGAGTTACTTTTTCTCTTCACAATTAGCTTCTTTGATGTCATTTGTATCTATCAGCAGGTGTTGGTGCATGTGCTTCTTAATTCACCATCATCTCTTTGCAATGAGAGAAAGAAATGTGCCATTCTTTCTGAGAGAAAGAAATCTCCCGGGTCTCTATTTGATCATCATTCAAATATATCATATTTCTTGTGCAGATAGAAATGGCTAGAACAAAGCGTAAAACTGATATGTTCATTTTATTTGGGCTTGCAAGTCGTTTCTAAACAATATTAGCTCTCTTTAACAGATTCATAACGGAGGGGAGGGCGCATATTTATTGTTTTTTAAAATGTGTGCAAAGTGCAATTGTTTAACGAAAGTGGGGTGCAAACTCAAATTGCTCCTTGAAATTATTATAAGCATTCATTTATATCTGACGTAAAAATAGGCATATTCATAACAAGAGTTTTTCCCACTTTTATTTATGTGACCATCACTGATTTTGAACTTTTTCATTTTAGTTATTCGACTATTGTACAAAAAACACTTTTGATACCTGTCTTTAAAAAATTTCATATTTGACTTTTATAAAAATGACACTTTTGATTTTTCAACTATTATAATAATAGTTCTTCATTTAGTGTGTCAAATAGTGAGAATTAAAATTTTCAATTTGATAATACTCAATAGATTAAATGTGAGAAAATTTGAATTCAGGATAAAAAATGTCTCTTGCAATGATTTTTTTTATCGTCAAACCGAAAGATATATTAAATCAAAAGATTGTTAGCCACATGGCTTAAAATACAATCGGGAGCACACTTAAAATTGTAAAGCTGTATGTGCCCTTGCATGATTTGCAGATCTTTTATAAAAAGAGATATCAGAATTGCTCTTTGTTTCTAAAATCTTCTAATATCATCCAAAACCAAATGTAAATATGATAAACCTGTTGCCTGCTTCAAGCGTTAACCACCGTAAGTGCATCTGTCTCTATGTCCACATTATGCTAGCCGGCATCTACACCCAACGCTTCTGTCTCTTCATCCGTCCAAGCAGCCTTGTGTGAGACCCCCTTCGCCTTGATAAATTCTCCTTACTCGTCCTTAGCAATCCACCCCATGCTCCAACTCCTCCAACCTAGTTAACCGCACCATCCACGTTTATTTTTACTAAACCGCGATTCTGGTCTCCTCCACCGAGTAGCTTCAGTGCTCCCTAACGGTCCCGCTACTTTCTTTCCTTCCCCTACATGTGCCTCCCTCCAATTATTTATCACGTTGGCCGCCACATTGACGACTCCACCTGCATCCTGATGTTGTTCCTTCCAGACCACATTATTTCTCCTTTTCCAGATGCTCTAAAGGATTGAAACAAACCTGCTCCGTTCTTCCTTATCCGTTTGATAGATTCTGCCGCAACCACTCCTCGGGCGTGACCCGTTTGCTCTCAATTGCCACACCAACAAGTTGCCAAACGTCCTCCACCCAAGGACAATCCCACACCGCATTGCCCAATAGATTCTTCCTCACCGCCACACACCTTACACCCTCCTTGAATGCTCACTCCTTTCCTTGATAAGTTATCCACCGTTGGTAGAGTTCCATCTAAAACCTGCCAAACAAAATATTTAAATTTAGGTGGGATTTGGAGATCCAAAACCCGGCTCCATCCGCCCCAAGCGCCTGCTAGCTGATCCCCCATCATTAATTTATAGCAGCTCTTGACCGAAAAGGTCCCATTTCATTCATCCGTCCACCAGAAGGCATCCTTTCTGTCCTGCAAACTAATAGGGATACTCAGAATTAATTCTCTATATCTTCTTCATTAAACAATTCTGTAATTCTTTCTCTATTCCATTTTTTCCCCTATAGTCGCGTAAGGCAGCAACATTCATAGATCTCACACCCACTGACCTATTCGAAGTAACCTGACCTGATCCCGCCCCTGGAAGTCAAGCATCCGCCCATATACATTAATACCATTCCCTACTCGCCGTCTAATATTTTTCCTCAAAATATTTGGGTGTCAAATATACTTCTCCAAATAAATGAGGGATTGTTGCCAACTTTAGGGCCTGTTTATTAACAGAGATATTTTCCTGTTTTCTACTTCTGTTTTTCGTTCTCCAATTTTCTGTTTTTATTTTTCAGTTTTTCTATCTCCAATTTTCTGTTTCTATTTTTTAGTTTTCCATTTTCAAATTTGAAAACATGTTCATCAATTTTTTCACACAGTTCTCCAATTCCACACCCTTGACCCATACCTCTACCCTTACCACGATCTTACACTCTACCCATACTCCACCACAACCCTTCATACCCACCCATACCTACTCGTAGGGGTCAAAGTAGGGAAGTTATGGGTGGGGGTGGGGTAAGGGGTATGGTCGGGGTGGGGTGGTAAGGTCTAGGGGTTGGGTGGGGTAGTGGGTTAGGGTCGTGGTTAGGGTTAAGGGTGGGGTAGTGGGTAGGGTTGGGGTAAGGTAGGGGTAGGGTAGGGAGTTGGGATAGGATGGCGGTAGGGTGGGGTCGGGACCAGGGTGGGGTCGGGACCAGGGTGGGGTTGGGGTAGGGTGGGGGTAGGATGGCGGTAAGGGTGGGGGTAGTGGGTAGGGTTTGGGGTTGGGGTAAGGTAGGGGGTAGGGTAGGGAGTTGGGATAGGATGGCGGTAGGGTGGGGTCGGGACCAGGGTGGGGCCGGGGTAGGGAAGGGGTGGGGTGGGGGGTAGGATGGCGGTAAGGGTGGGGGTAGTGGGTAGGGTTTGGAGTTGGGGTAAGGTAGGGGTAGGGTAGGGAGTTGGGATAGGATGGCGGTAAGGTGGGCCCGGGATCCGGGTGGGGCCGAGGTAGGGTAGGGTGGGGGTAGGATGGCGGT